CAGAAAGAGCAACCAGGATTATAAGCTTGGAGCTTTCAGTCCCAACTTCCAGTCTCCTGAGAGGGGAGGGGACTGGAAATGGAGTTAATATTCAATCATGCATACATGATGAAGGCTCCATAAAAATCTCTTAACTACAGGATTTGACTGCTTCTGGACTGGTGAACACATGTCTCCATGCGGTAGGGTAATGTACCTCAACTCCATGGGTGCAGAAGCTCCTGTACTTGGGACCCTTCCAGACCTCATCCTTTCTCTCTTCATCTGGGTGTTCATCTGTATCCTTTACTATATCCTTTATGAATACGCTGGAAAATGTAAGTAAAGTGTTTCCCTGAGTTCTGTGAGCCGTATCATAGCAAATTAATGGAAGGGGGTCACAGGATGCCTGATTTATAGCCCATCATCAGTGGGAAGCCCAGGTCACAACCTGAAATTTGCACCTGGAGTGGGGGGCAGTCTTGAGGGATGAACCTTAACTGGTGAGTTCTGATGCTATCTCCAGGTGGACGGTATCAGAATTGAATTAGAGGATGCTCAGCTAGTGTCTACAAGAGAATTGGATGGTATGTGGGGGGGAAAACCCATACATCTGGTGTCAGTAGAGTATTTCTACTCTAACTGAGAGTAGAAAAAACTCCCCCCCCATCCTTAGTACTTGTCTAAAGTAGCCCTTTTAATTTCTTTCATAGCAATTTTTATCATCTTTAATTCTCTGGATTATTTACTTGTTTAGTTCTTTACTCTTTGACTTCCCTACTAGACTATAAACTTTATAAATGCAAGCAATATGGTGTTTTTGCTGTTATTGTTGTTACCATTATATACCCAGCTTCCCTTACAGTAGCAACTAGCATAAATTAGATGTTCAATAAATATTTGCTTAATAAATAGTTTAGATGAACAGTGTGGAAACAATATCATAAGAAAAAATTATCTTAAAATTAACTTATAAAAAATTACAAAATAAGAAATTTCCTGAAAATCTATAAAATAGACTCTCAGAATGATGTTCTATGAACTGAGGGTCATTTGTAATACAGCATACACTTTCATCTACCTTCCTCTGACTTTGTATCTTACTCTACATCTGACTCCAAAAAAAAAAAAGAATAATTTTAGCCTGCATACATGATAAAGAGTAAAATAAAGAACAATTTTAATAATGTCCTATACTTTAAGATAAGAACATCTCTTTGGTACATTAGGTCACTGAAGATATCTGCATGAGCATGCTGAGATGAAAGCATTTACAAATCATGCTTTTTTAAGTGTGGCTAAAAGAATCTCTATATTCATTTATTATAATGCATAAGCATTGCTAATGTTAAAAAATATTAGGGTTCTATAAAACATGAAAATGGAAACACAGGAAAGGAATGGCATGCATGGATCTACAGATGACTCATGCTACTGGTTTAACTATTTTCTTTAGATTTTTCATGATTATGGTAAGTCTCATGTACTGAAATATGTTTAATATATAATATTGTTGCTAAAGAAACAAAAATCATGTATAATCATCATCCTAAAAAAGAAATGGGTTCCAATCTTTTGAATTCTAGGCCTATTGTGTTGAGCATTAGACAGATTGTACCTAGCCTTGAATGCAGCAAATAAAGAGAAACTATTTTTTTTTTTTTTTGAGGCAGAGCCTCAAGCTGTCACCCTCAGTAGAGTGCCATGGCATCACAGCTCACAGCAACCTCCAACTCCTGGGCTTAAGCAATTCTCTTACCTCAGCCTCCCAAGTAGCTAGGACTACAGGTGCCCACCACAATGCCCGGCTATTTTTTGGTTGTAGTTGTCATTGTTGTTTGGCAGGCCCAGGTTGGATTTGAACCCATCAGCTCTGGTGTATGTGGCTGGCACCTTAGCTGCTTGAGCCACAGGCGTGGAAGGCAAAGCTATTTGAAACACTGTAATTTAAAGACAGAAAAGTTTCCAGGCTACAGCAACATGAATTCCATCTATTTGGATTTTGATTGATCACTAAATTTTGGATTTAGGAAGAGTCCCATTTTTATATTTAACACAAATTAAATTTTAATTTAGAAACTGAGTTCTACATGGCCTGAGATATGTACAAATTATGTGAAAATAAGTTACTGTTATGTTCTGAATGTTTGTGTCTTCCACAAAATTCATTTGTTGAAATTTTAACCCCCAGGTATTAGGAAGTGTTAGAAGGTAGAACCTTTGAGTGGGGATTAGGTGATAAGGGTGAAAGCCTCAGGAATGGGATTATTCCCTTTATAAAATAAACCTGAGAAAGTCTGCTAATCCTCTCCACCATGTGAGGACACAGCAAGCTATAAACTGGAAAAAGGGCCCTCCCCAGACTCAGAATCTGCCAACACCTTGATTTCCCAGCCTCCAGAACTGTAAAAAATGAATTTTTGTTTATAAACTACCCATATTATGGCATTTTGTTACAGGAGCCCAGACAACTAAGACACTTCACATACAAAGACAACAGATGGTTTCATACACCTAGGTGTGAATCCTGGGAAAATCTAGCAAAAACACTTCTTAAGAATCAGGCAGTCTTCAGGCTTAATTGGTTCTGGACTCCCTCTAGTGGTTCAACCTTTTGGTGCTTTAATTGGTGCTCTTCAATTCATGTAACTACCATTTTTAGGTCGGAATAAAAGCAAATAAACAAACCACTCAACTGCCATCAGAATAATTTTCTACAAGGAGAATATTATCATTTAATGGTATGATAAAAGTAGATGTTCAGATGGCTAAAAGAACATAGTGTGGCAAATGGTTTAACGGCACAGGAATGGATTTTACTGACTAACTGGAGTAGACAGTTATAGTTTTGCTCAGAGTGGGTGGATAAGAGCCAAAGGCCCAGTAATAGAATTCCTCATTGCTTTTGTTTGTGAACTAAGGTGAAGACTAGACCGTTTAGGGGGAGGGTGAAATGATTATTTCCTGGTATAGGAATCCTACAAGGACAGAGGATTCTAGTTTGACTTTGTATAAAATCAACCTCAACCCAAAGCAACAAGTAGTTTCCTTCACATCATATTCCTAACATCATAGCCTCTGCCTCTGTTTTAAACAAGTGCAGAAAATTGTAAGATTGATTTAACTTTATGTGCCTCTGTTTGTTCTGGTTACACCCCTTGGCTTTAACTTCCACATGACCATACTCAAAATAAGAGGAAAACTCTTATAGTCACTCCATTAAACCTTCATTCCTTGACCAATTTGCACTGGAGATACATAAATCTATTAACTCCTCCTTTTACCTATTTAAGACAGTTATCACATCCTCATTAAGTCTTCTTTCCTTTTCCTAGATCCTCAAAGGGTTCATGAGGTACATAATTAGATTTTCATCATTATGGTAGGTCTCATTACTAAAATATATTTAACATACAATATTATTGATGCTGAAGGCACAAAAATCATGTATAATCATCACCCTAAAAAAGGCGAATAATTTGATAGGCATTTTATTCACACTTTCAGGTGTCAGTTAACATAATGGCTTTTGTATTTCAGAAAATGCAAAGTTTCTTGAAAACTCCAAGGGCAAAGAAAACAAAAGCCAATGAAATTAACAGAAAGAAGAAAATAGGAAGTAGTGGGTGACTTCCTTTTTAGAACTTCCTCCTGTTACTTCCGATTCCTAAATTATTCCTTTTTAGCCCTGGAGCTGGAAAAGTATAGCAGAGAGTAGGTAAGTTACTGTGGAGTCACGAAGTCTGTCATGAAATTTGGATAGAATGAGACCAAGAATTGGTACTGTTCTTAAGATCCCAGATCTGAGAGCACTTTCTATTGAGAGGACATTGCCATATGGCCCGTAACTGAATATTTGCATAGACAGAAAAAAATCTCCCAGCAACTTAAGCATTTTATCTGAAATATCAATTTTATCTTACATATTCAGGTTACAGTGAAGATGGAAAAATAGAGGTAGGAAGATGTGAGTAGAATAAAACAGGCACATTTTCTTGCCTGAATATCTGTAGTTTTTAAAAATGAGAACTAAGAGGGACAGGGCATGTATACTAGCTGATAAAGAAGAGGAATTCCCTGTGGGGAAGGGAAAGGTGGAAAGCAGGCGGAAAAGTAAGATCAGACAATTGTCTTAGTAATGTAGACAGGTGTCACCTCTAATACAGGGTTTAGTATTGAGGTGCCCCAAGTAAACAATAAGCACTTATTGTATGAACAGATATAGTAGTGATTAAGCTACCAATTATTAAAGGATTAAATAGAGAATCAAAACAAATGTGCCATTGGTGAGCTACAATTACATCAGATAGCCTAGTTTTCCTTCTTTTCCCTTTCCAAGGCATTTTATTTATTTTTTGCAGTTTTTGGCCGGGGCTGGGTTTGAACCCGCCATCTCCGACATAGGGTGCCCGAGGCCTTCTCCTTTGAGCCACAGGCGCCGCCCCTCTTCAAGGCATTTTAAATACCACACCGTACTTTTCCAGAGAAAAGCCCTCACAAACAGATTGGAGCCGCGGTTATTAAAAGCGCCACGGCTGTATTCTCAGGTACTCCAAGGCACCTACGACATCTGCACCCGGACAGTCGTAGTTTCTACATAAAACGGCAAAGTCTGTAGGTCCTTCATGAAGTAGCAATGAAAATAATTTTATGGTGGGGGTCACCACAACATGAGGAACTGTATTAAAGGGTCGCGGCATTAGGAAGGTTGAGAACCACTGCGATGATATTACAACAGCAGCAGTAGTGATGTTCCAGGGCGAAATCCAGGAAAACAGTGTGCAAAGCCGGTGACTCCAAAGTACAGGTAAACGCCAAGGGACATGCATGACTTAGTGACGTTAGCTTACGCCGCGTCCCAGACACTTGTAACAAAGGCCAGCTTCATAAAGCTCAGAGATGGGCGACTCGACTTCACCAACTCAGACACCAGAACTGTCCCGAGTGTTGTCCAACTTCCTAATTGGTCCTTCTGCCTCCGCTCCGCCCCTAGCAATCGAGAATTTTTTTTTCTTCTGGCGCATGCGCACCACCTGCTTCCGGCCCGGGAACTAAGTGTTCCGGTCTTTCCCGCCCGAGTGGATTTCTTTTCCCACTTTCCTCGGCCTGGTTTTCTATGTGCTATGGCTCGCGACTCCGGTCTCTTGTCCGAAGGTCCGCTCTTAAAGTTGCTACCCTTGGACGCTAGAGACCGGGGTACCCAGCGCTGCCGCCTGGGCCCGGCTGCCCTCCGCGCCTTGGGCGCGCACTTGGGCTCGGCGGTGAAGGTCTCGCTGCCTGACGGTGGTTCCTGCCTCTGCACTGCCTGGCCTCGGCGGGACGGAGCGGACGGCTTCGTGCAGCTGGACCCGCAGTGCGCGAGCCCCGGGGTAGCAGTAGGGGCGCCAGAGTCCCGGGGGAGTCTTAGCCTGAGCCGCCTCCTCCTGGTACCCTGCCCGCCCCTACGGCGCCTCACGGTGTGGCCGGTGTTGCGGGAGCGGGCAGGGGCGTCCGGTGCCCCAGACCCGGCCGTGGTACTGGAGACGGCGCAGGAGCTGCTGAGGAACCGGCCCATCTCCCTAGGCCACGTGGTGACCGCTCCGCCGGGCACTCCCGGCCCGGTGAGCGCCCTTCACATAGTCGGCGGATCCCCTAACCCCAATCCTGCTGGGCTGGTCACCCCTCGCACCCGCATCGACCTTTGCGGGGAGGCTCCGTCGGACGCTCATCCGCTGCCCAAGGTGCCTCTGGGGGGTCTTTCGGAGGCTGCAGATTCGCTGCGGGAGCTCCTCTGCCTACCACTCCGCTATCCTCGCGCCCTGGCCACGCTAGGGCTAGAGGTGCCCCGCGGGGTGCTTCTGGCGGGTCCCCCCGGAGTAGGCAAGACCCAGCTGGTGCGGGCGGTGGCACAGGAGGCGGGCGCGAAGCTGCTGGCAGTAAGTGCTGCCGCGCTGCAGGGCTCTCGGCCTGGGGAGACCGAGGAGAACGTGCGACGGGTCTTCCAGCGTGCCCAGGAACTGGCCAGTTGCGGGCCTACCCTTCTCTTCCTGGACGAGGTGGACGCCTTATGTCCCCGGCGGGGCGGTGCACACCGAGCCCCTGAGAGTCGCGTGGTGGCACAGGTGTTGACGCTGCTGGACGGCATCGGTGAGGACCGCGAGGTGGTGGTTGTAGGAGCCACCAACAGGCCTGACGCACTAGATCCAGCGATGCGCAGACCCGGGAGATTTGACCGAGAGGTAAGGAGGCCTGGCGGTTAGTCCCCATGTCCCTGGAAGGGCGGTCTCTCTGGACCTATTTGGCTGCTTCAAGTCGTTTGCCTCTTAGGTTTGAGAGTCCAGGAGGCTGGAGTAGGGCTTTTTGTAATACAGAGAACACATTCTTTGCCCACTTACCAGTGTGAACCAGTGCCTGGTTTTTTATGTTTTGTGTTTTTTTTTTTTTGCCCAGAGTCATACTGTTCTGGGAAACGGGATGGCCATTAGAGATTAGTGGTTTTGCTGTGCGGGTCCTGAAGATCTATACTACAATCAGTAATGCTAATTCTTAAGAGAAATAGTTTGGCTGCAAGCATCTTAAACTCATCGATTTGGAATGAAAATTTAAAGTAAAAGGGTAGCTTCAAGAAGTGTGTTGAAATAAAAGGGCAGAAGGCAGGAAAGAATAAATCAAGCAGGCATTAAGTCTTCCGGATTTATTCATTACTTGTCCAGACACCACTTTCCAGTCCCACAATTGCTCCCTGAGGTGCTAGGAAGGTTGAGTATTCAAAGCTGTCCTGTTTTTGTAAGTTTTGGTCCTAAATTGATTCTTGATTTCTAAAGAATAGTTGGAAATTTAGTGACTATATGATATTTGGATTTTGTGGTAGGATTTAAGAGAGATGATAATTGAATAATCCATCAGGACTTGGATGGATTTCTTCCTTACACCATCGTGTCCACTGAATAAACTCCTTAAAGGTAGGGACCTAGACTCTCTGGTTTACTATTCTATTCTGGACTCTGAGAACTTCGTAGGTTCTTAAAAATAACAAAAACTTGTTAAATAAGATATAAATTTTGTTTCTAAACTGTACTTTTTTTTTTTTGGCTTTGCGTATAGGTTGTCATCGGAACTCCCACACTTAAACAAAGAAAGGCTATTCTGCAAGTGATTACCTCAAAGATGCCCATCTCCAGTGGTGTTGATTTGGAGCTTCTTGCAGAAATGACAGTTGGCTATGTTGGCGCTGACCTGACAGCACTCTGTAGGGAGGCTGCCATGCATGCTCTCCTTTATAGTGAGAAGGTAAATATTAATTTATGAATTAATAATATTAGTCTCTTTAACATTATTTTTGTTTTATTTTATTTCCTCGTTAATTTTGGAGTTAAAAAAGTGGTAAGTACATTTTTTTGAAACATTTGATAGCTGTTAATATTTTACATCCGACCCTTTGTAAATTGTATATGGCTGAAGGTCAGTAGTCTAAATTGACTGAATTTTCCCCTACTCATAGTAACTCCCTAGTGCTGAAGCCTAGAGCACCCAAGAAAGACAGTGTGGCCCCAGAAGAATCAAACACTTTTTTTAACTTTCACTTTTTTAATTTTGAAGCAACTTCAGACTTAGAAGCTACAAAAACAGTACAAAAAATTTATGTATACCCTTTGCCCAGATTCTCCAAATGTATCATTTTGCCACTTATGCTTTATTATTCTCTATTTATGTGCATATATTTACATATATAAATATTTTATGAAACATTTGAGAATACACTACAGCCATGAAGCCCCATTACCCTTGGTAAACTTAAGTATATCGTTCCTAAAAACAAGAATTTTAACCCTAGTATAATGGTTAAACTGAGGAAATTAATACCAATACAATACTTTTACTGATCTACATAGACCTTAATCTAGAACCATGTTTCAGTTTTTCTTTTGTATTTTTAGGAGTATAGGTCAGTTATTCTGTAGAATATTCCTCAGTTTTTAGTTTGACTAATGTTTCTTCATGGTTCAGTTCAAATTTTGTACTTTTGGGAGGAATATCACAGAAGTGGCCCTGGGCCTTTCTCATTGCATCTGTGAGGTAGCATGTGATACCTCTTTGTCCTATCACCGGTAAAGTTTCATGTCTTGGATAAGGTGGTTTCTGTGAGATTTCTCCATATCCATTGTATAATTTCTCCCTTTGTTTTTAATAAGCATCTTGTGGGGGAAATAAACTTTTATAATCCAAGAGAAGATCAGGCACCTAAAATTTTATTTAAATTTGTCTTCAATGACAAAGACATAATACTGTTCTTTGTGAGAAACTAAACAAGAAAGAAAATTATGAAGAGAGTAATAATTGCCTGAAACTTCACTTCCCAGAGATTACAATGTTAACATTTGGGGGGAATGCTATTCAGAATAGCTCTGTACATATATATCCACTTATACAATTTTACATAAGTGAGATGAAATAGTTTATTGGGGTCTATAAATCATGATTATCTTTCTTAATAATATTTAAGATATTTGCCTAAATGTAATACTTTTAAGCACCATTGATTGGAAAATCCAGTCACATTGTATATAGTAAATAATCCTGAATCTATAAATTGTTTAAAAAATAATAATTTCAGCAGGTTCAATATTCTGGGACAAAATTTTCAATCTGATTGTGACGCCACAATTGTTGCTTGATCTTAAATTATAGAAGAGTGATTTATTATCCTAAATTTTGAAAAACCTTTATAGGTAGATAATTTATACCCTCCTCTCTTCCTTTTCCTTTATTATTACTCTTACACTGAAGGTGGAGAGGAGTTATGTGATCCAAATCCTTATCTTGTGTGTTTAGAACCAAAACTGCTTAAAGTTTTAAGTCCCATGTGTAAAGGTGAGAGAATATGTGTCTTCTGAGGGAAGGATGAGAGTGCCAGGAGAAGGGAAGGGAGATTTACATTTAGGATTTCCTCTGCTTTGAAGTTCCAGGTCTGGCTTAGGTGGACCAGTCAGCTGCTGTCATCCTAGGGTGGAGCCCAGTGCTACTTCAGAAGGGGCCTGCCCAGGTGTAGTTACCACAGGTGATGGCTGAGTTCAGAAACAACCCAGGGGAAGTGGAAGGAAGAAGGGACAGAGACATCTGGGAAGGTACTGGCTCCATCTTTTTTTTACTTTCCCCTACCAGGAAGCTTAGGGCTGCTGCTGCCACCATTTATGCCAGAGCAGACTTAAAATATTAAAGTTTATTAAACTTTTGTGACATATTCCTGTTAAAGAATTAGGAATGTTTAACACGCACATACACATGTGGAGGGGAAAGAATTTGTATGTCCAAAAGGGTTATGAGAATCAAGTGAAATAATGTGCAAACAAGTGATCTTGAACTAGAAATGGGATTTTTGGATATTAGTTAGTATACATAAAAATTAATTAGTATTTGGGTACCTAACCTCTGCCAGGTAATAAAAAATTACTTTAAAAAATTACATAATGGGGTGGCGCCTATGGCTCAGTGAGGAGGGTGCTGGCCCCATATACTAAGGGAGGTGGGTTTGAACCTGGCCCTGGCTAAACTGCAACAAAAAAATAGGGGGCCATTGTGGCGGGCTGAGTCCCAGCTACTCGGGAGGCTGAGGCAAGAGAATTGCCTAGGCCCCAGAGCTGGAGGTTGCTATAAGCTGTGACACCATGGCGCTCTACTGAGGGTAACAAAGTGAGACTCTCTCAAAAAAAAAAAAAAAAAGTACATAATACTGTTCTTTGTGAGAAACTAAACAAGAAAGAAAATTATGAAGAGAGAAATAATTGCCTGAAACTTCATTTCCCAGAGATTACAATGTTAACATTTGGGGGGGAATGTTATTCAGAATAGCTCTGTACATATATATCCACTAATACAGTTTTACATAAGTGGGATGAAATAGTTTATCATTGAAAATGGAAATTTGTGGACAACTGTATGTTCAGAATTTGATATGAGGGCAAATACTTTAATAAATACAGATATTACAAATAGAAATGTAAGGATTTTTTAACAAAAAATTTGCTTCAAGGAAATTGCAAAGAACTTAAAAATGTTATCTTAAAGATGACCTTTCTAACAGAGAACCAAGTAACCAAGAGAACCAAGTAACCAAAAAGGAAATTACTTGTTAATTTGATGACTTGGAGATGACAAAACAATACTGTAAATAAGGTCAAAATAGAAAAAAAAATTTCTAAATCATTAAGACCAACACAACAATTCAAGAGATGGGTTATGAGATATGAACAGGTACTTGACAATGAAAAGAATACCAATAAATGTGAGAAATCTTTAACCTTAATTTATTTTAAAATTAATGTGTTTCAGGCCAGGCATGGTGGGTCGTGCCTATGAACCTAGCACTCTAGGAGGCTGAGGTAGGAGGATCACTTGAGCTCAGTTAGCAGTTCAAGATCAGTAAGAGTAAGAGCAAGATCCCATCTCTATTAGAAATAGAAAAATTAGCCAGGTGTGGTGGTATGCACCTGTATTCCCAGTTAAATACTCGGAAGATTGAGGCAGGAGGATTGCTTGAGCCCAGGAGTTTGAGATTGCTGTGAGCTAGGCTGAGGCTGTAACACTCTACGCCAGGTGACAGAGTGAGATTCTGTCTCAGAAAAAAAAACCAAAAAACTGTCTTTCATGGTTTTTAAAAATTTTTTATTTTTTTAATTATTTATTTATTTATTTATTTTTTACTAATTGCTTTAATTTATTTGAGTAGTGTAATGCTTAATTTTTTTTTTT